GAGACCAGGGCAAAGCTGCCAGCAGGCTGTGACTGGCTGCACCACGCCAGTGCTCTGCCCAGGAAGAAGGGAGATTCATAAAGGCAGCTACCTCCAACCAGTCGTGGAGGCTTCTAAACACTACTATGCTGGCATGTGTTAAACTCATTCCAGTTTCTCCATCTGAAGGTGTCTGGGAATGCAGAGGAGTATTTCCCCATCCTGTGAGAAGCTCGCTGGAGATGAGAGCCCAGCCATTCTTCCAGGGGGGACCTGGTCCCCTTCAGGGATAGTCAGAGTCTCCAGACTGGTCAGGGTCAGCCCTGCCAGGAGCTTGGCAGCAGTGAAATTGTGTGGATGAACATGTGCCAAGCTAGAGCTGCCTGGCTCTGGTCAGTCCAATTCACCAGCAGAGCCATTGTGTATAGATCTGCCTTTATCTGCATGTGCCCTTTGTTTCATGTGGTGTTATCTGTGCATCCTGCAGAATATAATGTTTCTACTTTAACATTGAGACACTCTAAATTGGACTCTCACTACTGTCACGTTAGACTATAGGCATGTGATTAAGTCATTTCTCTTAAATTAGACTTCACAAAAGAAACCTCTAACTGACCTGCTTTTCCTTCTGCTCCATGCTGGTTGCACATTAAAACCCATTACTTCAAACCATCCTGACAGGCATTTTTGCTAACAGTCACAGTCCATTCTAGCCAAGAGTTCTGGACACATCCAAATGTGCATGACTTGTTTCTAGTCTGAACCTGCCTGCTATTAACTTCTAACTTGCTTCAAGTCATGGTTTTCCCTGTTATATTAAAAAGAAATTGTTGGAAAGTTTCAATTTTGTGAGAGCTATTTCATTTTAAAGACTAATGGTTTTTGCTGGACCCTGTAAATCTTTGCATATAAATAACCCTGGATTTAAATTCCCAGAACACTGAAAGCCTCTAAAATGGCTCTATATATGGTGAAAACAACCACAGAATGTTTGGTCTGTCTACACCCAGTCTTCATACGCCTTAAAGTGCCCATGATATTTATATTAAAATCTGCAAGTGGACTCTCAGTTACCATAAAATGATAATTTAGGGCATGATTCTGCTTTCACTTACACCCATGTGGGAGGTGGCTTTCTGTAACTCTCTCACTTCCAGCAGAATTTGCTACATGTGAAAAGAGATGAACACACCTGATGTGTCAGTCTGGTTGTTGATAGCTGCATGGAGTTTAGAGGTGGAAGGAACTGCTAGATCACTTTGTCTGAGCCGCCTGTTATGGAAATCCATTCAGTTATTCTTGTACTGGGCCCAATAATTTTCACTGAACTAAAATGTAGCTTCCAAAAAAGCATCCAGAGGATTTTAAAACACAGGAATCCACCACTCCCCTTCATTATTCAGATAACTTTAAAGAAAGATTGCTGTAAAATGTGCCTTCTGTCTAGCATGAATACATCTACCTTCCAGTTTTAGCTTTTCACTGTTACATGACAAAGATCCTTATTTTCTCTAATTTTCTTACTTGAAGACAACTATGCATTGCAAAGAGTCTGCTTCTTGCTTCTCTTTTGATAAGCCCTACACAATAGCTGATCTGCAGTAAAAGGGTGTGTGTAAATCCTTACCTTAGAGACAATGCAAGATAAGAGCCTTCAGCCCAGTGGGCTCAGCCCTCAGCAGCCACTGCTGGGGGACCACACCTGTCCTGTGTTCCTGGCAGCTCCTGAAGAGGCTGCTGAGGGCAGTCCTGCAGGCTGCCAGCACTGCCTGCTCGTTCCCACTGCAGAGCAGCCCCGTTCTCTCCGTGGCCAGCTCACACAGTCACGTAGGAAATGTAGGAAATGGCCATTGTGCTCTGCAGCTGCCTGCAGCACAGGTCACGGCAGCGGTGAGAGATGCACTGCAAACTCTGCTGGCCCAAGCACGTGTGTGCTGGGGGTGAGTATTCACATATTTAAAGGAAAGAAGAGAAAGGAAAAATGCACATGGAGCCATTCCCTCAGGGTAAAAGTGAGTACTCAATAGCTCCTGAAGAGTGGCTTACATGCCATCAATTCATCCACTAATTTACTCTGTAGTAACCAGTTTATTCAACCACGGTCTGTGTTAATCTCCCCCAAAACATATTTTGTCTGACCTCTCTCTAACAAACCCATTGCCTCATTAGAAGATTAAGTCAGGTTAGTTCATTATTATTATTCTTTATGGTTGGTGACAGTCTATGCCTGTGGACAGTGACAGCCAAGAACTCCCTTCTCCTCACTGCTTGTGAGTGTAAATCACAATTAGGAGCCAGGATTGTTTGATAATGGTAACCATGTAGACATAACATAACATATATACATAGATGTGATATACTTCTAATGAAACACATCTACATCTGGTTTCTATAGCACTGTGTGGATTGGCATTAATCATATCCTCCTACTTTTAATTCCTTCCTGGTAGGCAAAGCTAACTTCCCTACCTACGTTATCCCACTTGCCCTGACAGTGTGATCACACAACATGAGCTATGGCTGAGAAGGAAACAGCTATAGACATGACAGACTCACCATTCCCATTATGTCATTTTCTAAATCAAAGTTTTGGTGTGATTTAAGTGCTGCCTATTGCTGCACCAAGATTTGAGCCTCAACTGCTGCCTCTTGATCCCTGTTCAAACCTAAGGAGCGTGGGATTAAGCCAGTGGGATATTGTGTACTTCCAGAGTAATGTGCATTCTAACTATTAAAAGGTGAAATATAAAAAAACCCAACAAAACCCACAAAAACAAAACAAAAAAACCCAAAAAACCCAACCAACCAACCAACCAACCAACCAAAAAAGCTATTTCATTCATAACAAAAGCTCACTTGAAAAAATTAATCTGCAACATTTAGTTATTAACCAAACCCATCCTCCCCCTGAAACCTCATTTCAGAAATTATCCTAGACATGAAGTCCCCTGTTCAGGACATCCATATCCCTGAATCATGACAAGGCCACCAAGTGCCCAAGGAACACAAACTGGTAGCACCAGTTCCCCAAGGCACAGTGTTGAGAGTAGCCATGGATGGACCAGAGATACCTGTGCTAATCCTCTCTCACCTCTGACAGTGCCAGGGAAAGTCTGATGCCAGGTAATCACACCTTAGGACTCACACAGACATCAAGGACTTGGTTATGTGTACAACAGTAGCAGAGCTTGCTGAAGTAGCCCCTTGCCTAAATGACATTCATCATTCATTGGGAACTGCAGTGATAGGACAGGGAGCAATGGGTACAAATTGAAAGAGGGGAAATTTAGGTTACATATTAGGAAGAAATTGTTCACTGTGAGGGTGGTGAGGCACTGGAACAGGTTGCTCATGGAGATTGTGGATGCCACAACCCTGTCAATGTTCAGAGCCAGGCTGGATGGGGCTCTGAGCAACCTGGTCTCGTGGTAGGTGTCCCTGCCCATGGTAGGGCAGGCTGGGACCAGATGATCTTTAAGGTCCATTCCAGCCCTGAACATTCTGTGATGCTGTGATTCTGTGATAAGCCTGGCTTACACCAGATCCTTGGCTATTAGGGTGGCTCCTGTGGAGAGGGGATCAAGCAGCCTTCTTGACACCTTTCTGCCCTCTGCCCCTGTTTGCAGCAGACAGTGCCATATGTCCCTTGCCTGATGACAGAGGTGTGCAGGGCTCTGTATCTGAAGGGTTTGTGACACAGATTTGGAGGTGGTTACTGTATGGGAATGAAGCTGCCATGGGAGGAAGGTCTGAGAGGAAGGAATACCTGAAAGCCCCGATAGAGTCCATGCTTGTTAAGCTGTGCTGTACTTTCAAGGATATTGTAAACCACCAAAAGCCAGATTGTTGCCAAAGCAGTTGTTTTGTCTTCATCCAGCCCAAATTATTTCTTACTTTATTGCTGCTCCGTCTCCCCAAACAAACTTCTAACCTAGGACAGTTCTCCTGACATAAAAATAGGAACAGTGAGGAGGAGGGTGAAAGAGCTGCTTTCCCTGGCAATGTCAGGTTAAAACTGCCCACAAAACTTTGGCTTAAACTAGCATTAGATTTGTTATTTGAGACAGATTGATGGTTCAAGGAGCTCGGCTTCAATGCACATCCTAAAGCCACTCCCCCGTGGCAGTGACTGAACACACCTGTAAATGTAAGCACTTCCCCGAAGTAGGTACTCAAAAAATCTCCAGCCGAGGTAACCACCGACTTTAAACCATTTACGGCACACGAGAAGCCCCCAGAGCGCTCCGGAGTTCTCCCACACCAGAAGGTACCGAGGGGCGATAACTCGGCGAAGAGTCATCTCCGGATTTCCCAACGGTGTCTGGATACGGTTCCCTTTGTGGGCTGGACGCCCCAGAGCGGCGAGCTCTGCGGTCC